CCCGAACCTTGATGTGACGACAACAAAGTATGCAACAGAATACCGAGTCGAATGGTTGACACCTTCATACCTAAATAAGCCGCGTCCAACGTACACCGGGCTACCCGCCACAATCAACTTCGGGACGAACTTCACGTTACAAGTTACTCTTAATCGTACTGCTGCCATTCAAGGTAAATTTCATTTTAAAGAGCAATATGCGAGCAACTAAACCTCACCTTCTCACTCAAAGTGGCACTCATCGACCTAGGCTTCATAACCCATGGCGTGCATATGGACCAACGACTAGTCTTCTTATCTGCCACTTTAGCCCCTACTGGCACGCAGCTAACCATTCAGGCACCTCCAAATGGGATGATATACCCTCCTGGCCCTGCATATCTGTATGTCGTTGCAGATGGCGTGCCTAGCTTCGGTCATGAGACTATGGTTGGCACTGGTGCATCTCCACCAGTCGATCAAGCAGCTATAACCAAGTTAGTACAGATCGGTATCCAGTCTTTATGAATGATAGGCTTACCTTTATATCATAGTATGTTGGCACATACCAACCCGGTCAGCCTGAGTGTCAGTGCTGCATGGATACGACCTGCAGAAGGAGAGGGCAGTGAAGGTAGTTTCTGGTTATGAGGTACGAACTATAGTTCTTTTCATATGTATGCATACCATGGATTGTATTTGTGCTCGAATCTATCTGCTTAATCCAACGTCTTGAGGACCCAGCCCAAGGGTATCAATGAATCCTCACGCAATCCCCCGTGTATCAGGATTCAGGAAGCAAAAAAGATCTTTCCACGAAAAGTAATTTTAGTTATACAAGAAGCAGAAAACAGATACAAAGCATAATTCAACATACTGTGTGACCAGCACCTATGTTGCGGCCATCACCTTCTCGATCTCCAGTATCACCCTCACTCGCCCAGGTCTGCCCTCCGCACCTTCTGATCCCAGTTGATGCGCAATGATAGGAGCACCCGGAGGACTCAAATCCGTTTCTTGGATACTCCTGTGCAATAACGCGAGTACCTTGATGAATTGGATACCCCATGCTTGCTTAGCGCGAGTACCACCGACTTCCAAGGCCACTGTTACATAGATATATTAGTACAATTGATCGAAAGATATGTATAAGATGAAGACTTACCCGCTATGATTTGCGTTGTTATATCGCTCCTCAGCAGCACCGGTGCAGACATAAGCCTTGCAAAGTACGCCCAGTACCTCGGGAAGGACCACATCGGCGGCATAGGCGTTGAGACCTCCGAAGTAAGAATAGCAAAATAAAGCGTCATAATCCCGCTAATTCTCATATCAAAGTCCTTCTGCAACTCCCGCTCCGTCCTATAACCTCTCAACTTCATGTATTCCACCTCGCCCATCCCTTGTGGTTTCGGTACTGGAATGGGCACAGCTAACCCACCCGTTCTCTGAACCATCCGCGCATAAAGGACATCAGAGAAGTGCTCGACATTCGTGAGCAACCGAATCGTAACTTGCGCTAACGGGATGGCCGTCACAGCGCGCGCTGAGACCTCTGTTTCAGCTTGTTTCAATATGGCTTTTGCCAGTGAGGATAATATAGCGAAATAGAGTGATTCAGGATGTGGTGGTTGCACGAGGACGACTTGGAGGATGGCGGTGGATATACGCTCGATTTCGGATTGGGTGTTTGTGAGTTGGCCGATCTTGGGGGTGATGAATCGTCGCGCTTTGCTGTATATTGGTCGGAGGTTATCATCTGCCTTGATGGCGGGGACGTAATTCCGTTTGACCATCTACTTAGAGTTAGGTATATGTTAAAGATAGTGCCATGGGGAACGGCGTACCTCCAGGGTCTTGCGAGCTTGTGCCCAATCTTCTTTCGCGGTCTGATAGCCAATACGCTTTCTCGCATCTACGAGTTTGGCATCCTCTTCCTCTCGTTGCTTAACCTCCGCGTCTTCCTTCTCCTTCTGCTTCCGACGAAGTTCTTCCTGCAACGCTTTCTCCTTCTCCTCGGCCTTCTTTTTCTCTTCTTCTGCTTTCCGTCTCTCCTCCTCCTTACGTTTACGTTCCGCCTCTTCACGCCTCGCCTTCTCTTCTTCCTCCTGCTGTTTCCGTACTTTATCCTCCTCAGCCTTGATCACGCCATCAACCCGCTGCCATAATAGCTTTTCTCGTTGCTGGTAATCAGCAATAAGTCTCGCTTCCTCCTCCTTTCTCCGTAGATTCATGTTCTGTAAGAAAGCAGTGACCTCTTCCAGCTGTTGATCATGCGATTCCTGGACGCGTCTTTCGCGCAACTCTGTCTCAAGCCGGCGTGCTGCAGCTGTTGAGGCTGGATTCGTTTCATACCGTTTCGTAGCTGCACGCTATTCCAGGTCATCAGTACCAGTATAAGTATCATCGGCAGAAACAACTCACGAAAGCGGCGGTACGCGTTTCCTTGGCCCATTTCCCGAACGGGTCTTGATAATTATTGGTCCGACGCAGACTTTCAAGATTATCTTCGATGACTCTCTGTTCCTGTACTGATCGCTTCAGACGATTCGCGCTTCTAAGTCAACGATCAGTTCCGATAGGGTGAGACATGGTGGATGACATCCATACAAGGAGTGGGCGGGTTCATCATGTTCCGAATCGTAATATGGTGAATCAGAGGGCGATTGAGGCTCAATAACCTCGAACGCACTATCCTCCTCGTCGGACGAATCGTACGCACTAAGTCCAAAAGAGAACTTGCCTCTGCGCGGGAGTCAGTTCACGCGTTTCCCGTGTAGAAATCACAGATTTTACCTGGGCTTTGGAGACCTCCTCACCGGAGACGGTGACCTCGAAATTCCAAATCGCATTCCGAGGAGAATATGACTGTAGAAAATAAAAGAATGGGCAGGTGTGGCAATGGGGACGGCGGGAACATTCGGATTATGTCAGCGGGCGCTTCTTCGCACGTGTTGTCCATTGTTTATACTGTCCTTCTCCTCATCCCTCAAGACGACCTTGCAAGGTGAGAATGCTCATTTATGGCCCTACGTTCATCGTCCAGGCCGTTGTGCGGTTCAGAGGTGCTGTTAAACTGAAATTTGGATGGTTGGGGCTGGTCTGGACGATGGATGCATGGGGATCAAGTTGGATGACGTTTGGATGAATGCTGATGGTTTTTTCGTTTGGCTGTTTCTTTTGTCTAGATGGTGCGTGTGCTTTGGCCTCTTCAAATTTGTATGTTTCTAACGAGTTATTCGCCCAAGTAGAAGGTCGAAATCGACTCTTTCTCCGGTTACAAAATCTACCCTAGCAAGGGTCAACTCTTCGTCCGCGGTGACAGCAAGGCATGCTCCGAATCACTGTATTCCACTCACACATGCTAAGCCGTCAACTATCTAGGTCTTCCGCTTCGCTGCTTCCAAAAACAAGTCCCTCTTCCTGCAACGTAAGAACCCCCGTAAGATCGCATGGACAGTAGTGTTCCGTCGCATGCACAAGAAGGGCATCACGGAAGAGGTTGCCAAGAAGCGCTCGAGGCGAGCTGTCAAGCACCAGCGTGGTATCGTCGGTGCTGACCTTGCTGCCATCGCTGCTCGGAGGAACCAGACGACTGCCATCCGCACACAGGCCCGCCAAACTGCCATTGCCAAGGCAAAGGAGGAGAAGAAGGCTAAGGAGGCTAAGAAGGTCAAGGTTCGTTGATGTAGTTGCTCATTCGTTTGGTATACATTCTAATTAGCTCGTTTTGCAGACTGCCCGCCCGGCAGGCACAACTGCCCCCAAGGTCTCGAAGCAACAGATGAAGGGTGGCAAGGCCGGTCGTTAAGCTTTGATTGGTGGTTGAGCGATTGGATGAATTTCGCTTGTTTGTACACCTGATGCACCCGCTTTCGCTTCCTATTCAATGCTTTATGAAAATTATGGCAGACTCGAGCAATTATGTTGGGATATGCATATGAGTTTGTAATATATCCTACATCCCAAGCCATTGGTCTCCGTGCTATCATTATCTTATTCGAGCAGGATTGGCGTCGGCGCCGTATTCGAATGTCTGCATCGAATGTCTGCATGGAACGCCTCTTGTCTGCTACGCGAACCTGATCTATTCTTCCGAGCTTAGAGTTAGAGCCCTCGCCATAAGCTAGACATCACGTCATCTCGGTAAAAGGCATCCTTATAAACTGTTGGGCATCCTTGCGCATTAGTACCTTGTCGCTTCTATATCTCTCTAGTGGACAATGTCAGATATCACTAATGTACCGCCTTTTCCGCTGAAGAAGTTGGAATATTTCCCCAAAGTCGAAGCAACGGCTTCTCTTTCGACTGGTATGTATGCCCCCTAACTTGTTGTATGATACTGATCATTTATAGATTTCAGAAGAGTATTATGGACAGGAGAACAGTCACAGCTTGTGATTATGAATGTCCCTGTCAACGGCGAAATCGGCGAAGAGGTGAGGACAAACTAATTACATACTGTTCTGCTGATCTCACGTCTTAAGACCCATGCGGTGGACCAACATCTTGTCTTTCTTCATGGTATAGCAAAAGCAATAGTAGCCGGTGAAGAAAAGGAAGTTGGGCCAGGTGATTTAGTTATTGTACCCGCTGGTACCAAACGTGAGTACTAGTTTCTCTTTCTGCACATAGACTCATGGCGTTTTCTATAGATAACTTTATCAACGTGGGCTCTGAACCGTTGATATTATATACCAGTGAGATTCTTCTTCCTTGATATATATGTAAATAACTAAACTTCTTTCCAGTATATGCACCCGCAGAACACGCCGTAGGCGCAGTGCATAAAACGAAAGAGGAGGGAGACAGACTTGAGGATGAAGGCAAAGATGAACCCCCGATGTGGGCTACTAAATAATTCGGGGACTTTTAAGAGACCGTAAAGACAACGATAATGATATTTAATTGTTACAAAAATCTGAGGAAGCAGGGCAAATGCACAAAATACCCTGGTCGGTTTCCCTGCCTTCTTCGATGAAATAACTTCGGAAAAAGAGGCTTAAATACCGAACAAAAGCATCCGAAAAAGGGAATTGAACCCCGGGCTATCGCGACGTGTTTTTGAGAGGCGATAATGTTAGCCAATACACCATTTCGGAGTGCTGAAAAGGATACTCCAAGGGACCCATAGGAGCACCCACAGGCACCCCTGTGCACTCATTCGTGCCCGTAACCCTGGGCATACCCTGCACGCTGGTCATGACGAATGAGTACGTACTTTGAATGCCAGCTCCATTACTGCACATCGGCTTCCTATTGATGATGCAATTGTAGCGTGAAAATGAACGGTACTCCTTTACGGTATTCCTTTCCGGTGCCCTTGGCTACGAACATCCGTCGTCGGACATCTTCGTGAAGTTTTAGCACTTCGTTCTTGTCTCGCATCTTGTGGCTCATAGGTAAGTAATAGCTTTGCTATAAAGTGTATTTCGACATGTATTGACATGTATGCAGATACGTTCAAGGTCTAATATGCCTGGCAGACATCACCAGCAGAGACTTGAGCTTGACCACTCCTCGTCGTCGCCATACATCACGCTGAAGACACAGAAGCAGCCTCCATCAGGCGGCATACACAGGATACCGCCTGAAATACTCGGCCAGATCTTCGTAGCATGTCTCGAAGAAACCAACTTGGAATGCGACCATGCTGCGTTCCATCCCTACAACAACGCACTCGTCCCGAACATCACGACGGACTCAGCACCATTAGTGCTCCTCCGAGTCAGCAAGGAATGGCGAAGAGTGGCATTAGGAACACCTGAACTCTTCACTAGAATATTCCTCCACGGACAAATCAACGTCGACCCATCCATCATCGTTCCCTTCTGGCTAGAGCACTCTGGGACTCTCCCTCTAGACGTGATAATCCAGCCCGAAATATGGTATCCGCCATCGGTGATTAACGCCAACAAAGGTGCCATCGTGCGCCCCATCCTGGCGCAGCTCCACCGCAATAATCACCGCATCCGGACCTTGCGCTGTGGTGCACTTCTAGACGAATTCTTCCCAAATGTCCCAATGATCTCCATGCCTGTCTTACGAGAGTTCACATTAACGGCCTCATCTCCCGCGTATCGACCCTCAAAAGGCTCATACAGCTTCGGCCCCGTCACAGCCTCCAACCTCGAAATCTTCCAGCTCATGCCCGGCGCGCACTACCACCACGCGCTCGAATTCGTCGGCTGGGGCGATCGTCTCCGGATCTTCAGGAACGAAGGCCTCTTTCAGTGTCTCTCCGAATTAGCGGACATCATGCTTCGGGCGCCGAATTTGGAAGTATGCGTCCTCCGGATGGGGGCGCGCACGACGGGGAGCGGCAGGCTGTGGGAGGATATGGATATCAACCTGCCTCGGTTGCGCCATTTGTATCTTTCGCCGATCGGAAGTGATGAATTCCAGGATCTGCGTCCGTTCCTCGCGCGGCTGCATGCCCCTGCATTAGAGGAATTCGACGTACAGAATAATATTGATACTATGGGCCGGCACCTCCCTTCTCAGGATTGGAAATCCACGTTTCTGTCCCTCTTCCCTTCTCCGTATTCGAATCTCAAAATCCTGCGATTACGTTGGTTCGACATGGATAGTATAGACCTTGCATCTCTACTCCCAAAATTCAGTCAACTGGAAGAACTATGCTTCGAATGGGCGAATTGCGATGAGACGGTGTTTAGGACTTTGGGAAGCGCGGGTATATGTCCTAAGTTGTCGTCTATTGCGTTCGTTTTCTTGAGGATTACGGGATCTGGGCTGACGGAAATGCTCGCGGAGCGTGTTCTTCCGAGGGATGATCGAGCACAGTTGAAGGAAGTGTGTGTTTGTCATTGTAAAGGTGTCGGGGATGAGGAACGGATGACTCTTTCTTCGATGGCTGAGGAGCATCGCGGTATACAATGGGATATTGTAGATCATTGAGCAGGTGTTTACTATCGTGAATCTTTGAGCTTGATCGGTCGACTTTGACGATCGATGTTTAGTATTTCAACCTGTCGTTATATTTTCAACATTGTATGTAGAAGTATGTTCAATTTAAATTTTTGGGGGTCTTATGATGTTATACATTACTAGTTACGCATTCGGTTCAAAAAGTGCCATGTAGAAGAAATTTTCGTCCCTGGCAGCTACCTTCGATGCCAGTGTGCTTAAAGGTTGGACGCCAAATAATAGCGAAGCATAGTGATCTTACAATTCTCCAAAATACGTTTATGAACGACTGGATTTAAGTGGTATCCAGCTTCCAAGGCAAACGACCAAGCTATTCGGCATATATCAAGATAAATTTAAATAAAAGTTCTGGGGACTGCCACCTCGACATCGTTGCCTGTGGAGTCATGGGGAAACATCACCGGGGATCTGATCACTACTTTTCCTCGGAATATTTATCCTCGCTTTTTTAAATAAAATAAAAGATGTAGTATTGTCAGAACGCGTCGGAAATATTCACCTGCCCCCCTGGGCGGTGTAAGATGGATGAAATGGACAGTCTTCCCAATTTTGGAGCAACATTTCCCCTGCATACCCTCCGAACGCCAAGAAATATAAGGCAAAGAGCACATAGAATAATTGTCTACGTTTTGGAAAGGCTGTAAGGATTATACCGGCAGGGCCTTTCACCCAAATGAGCGTGACTAAAGCGCGATACTTCCGCAATTTTTTAATACTCATGTACATAATTTCAGATAGCATTTACCTAACTTTTCAGCAAAAGTTGGCAATCTACCGGTTTATTTAGCATCTTCCAGGCTCGTACAAACAACATACTAGGCACACTAATGAGATCCTCAAAAGGGCCAAGAAGTCGAATACATCCCGAAAAGGAACTGTCACGGACGTGACATCACACCATACCACCTTTTTGCCCAGATCATCTTCAACCATCTACACGTGCTTCCTCCTTAATATCGATAAGGTATGTATCCTTTGAAGAATTGCCATTGAAGAGCTAATTTATAATGGGATTGTCAGCTATTCTACAGTACACCATACACCCGTTAACCTACGAAGTTCGAACAAAGGCAGCCGTTGTCCTATTTGGGAGAACTCCTTGAGATTGAAAGAACAGCTATTCGGAATTTGTTAATTTCAAGGTGCATTATAAATTTGAATTTATAGTTATCATTATACTCAAAAATCGTGTTAAAGACCCTACCAGCGAAATTCACCAGTATCGACGCGACAACGCGATCTTGAAAGGACGGATCGGAAATGGCATCTATTAGTCACCTTTCCAATACTGGGCAAGTCCAAGTTGATGGACGAACCTTCTTGATTAAGCAGATGCACTTGGAGAAGTCACCAACTGACACCGTCAATATCTACATGATCAGGACCGAAGATACGCTGCCTGGTCCTCCCGGACCGTCTCCAAATGTTCTTAATGGCGTGTTTTCACCGGGGCCCGGAGACATCATCATAGGTTATTATGTCAATAACTTCACTCCGCACACCTGCTTCGTTTTCACCGGGTCTATATGGGTGGATGCGCTTAAAGAATACACGGTTCATCCTACGAACGATAAATATCATTTCGAGGCCGGAACGTCAGGCCATATAAAATGGAAATTGACGAAGAGGCCAGAAAATGAATTTCAACCAACAATTCCCGATCCATGCGATATAGGCCCTCAGATCCTTACCCCTCAGAAGCCTAAGCGGCCTCAGGCTGCTCAAACGAACGACGAGACGAATTCCCAGTCCAGGATACTTCGCCCTCGGTGAGCTATTCTTATACTTACGCATATGACCTCTCGAGGCTTATTTTGCGAACTTTTCTTTAGGAAACGGAGTGGAGGTTGGGGCTTGGACGATAGCCCTCTAAAGAGACAGAAATTCGGCGATACCTCAGACGATGAATCGATGGTACATTATGAAGCTGTATATACTTCAAACTCGGAAGACAGCGATTACGATCCAAGCGGGGATGAGGAGGAGGAAGTTGATGAGGATGGAACTCGGCGACGACGTAAAAAGCCCAGGCGATCAGAGTCTTCGATATCAGGGAGTAAACTCAACGGACATGGGGAAAGGGAAGTCATCATGCAGGGGGAGCGTCCAATTAATGAAATACAAGTGTACTCGACGAAACAGGCGATTCCTACCTCCGAGTCGACCTCCACAAAGCCTCATACTCGCGGTCAAGGCCCTCTTCCATCTGTCACCATCGTAACTTCTGTGCAAACCATTGAAGAAAGTCGAGCGGAAAAGGATCGTAGAAAGCAGAAGAAATCATACGCGAAGCTTCGAGAAGCAATTAAAGTCAAGACGGCACAAATATCGAAGCCAGCGTCGAGTCCTACTAGTGGTGGAAGCGGCGTCAATGAGGGATCGAGTGTAACCAAATCCAAGTGGCGTTCGTCGAGGCCCTCAGCAGGAGAACCCGCGAGCAATAATGGGAAACCTTCCGTTGATATGGTCTCAGACACAGAGCCGATTCAGTCACTGCCGAGATCCTCTCCCGGTCTTGAATATTCCATTACTTGTTCTCGGAAGCCAGCCCAGGCAGCATCTCCCTCGACTTTTACTATCAGCGGGAATACTCCAGGAGGATCGGTCGAGAGGACTCCTTCAACTCTTCCTACTATTGTTGCGATACCGGTAAAATCATTGGCAAATGGGTCTTCGTCTTTATCAGAATCCCAATCCCAATCCACTTCGGGCAATGCCACTAGCGATGTCAAAACTCAGGCGCAGATCTCCTTCCCCTCAAATTCAGGTCTATTGCAGGCATGCGCACGTCGGATAAGCTATCCATTTAAAGAAGGTAATGTCTTCATTACAGAACTAAATCTTTTCCCTACTTGAACGCGTTTTAGGTCCAGCTATTCAGCGATTAATGGATTCGGTACAATCCGTCACTGAAACGCCGAAGGCAATGACGGTTTCGCGCAGCGACGAGTATAGGGACGCGGCTCTCTCTGTTTCAAGCATGAATTCGTCGTCATCTGAAATTCCGAAATTAACCGTTGATGACCAAGATAATGCCGATGTGGAGGCTCAGTTGTTACCAGTTGGCAATGCAGTTTCAGCAGCCATTGCGCAATCAGTCTCTGCGAAGCCCGCATCCTCTAACCCCAATAATAAGGCAATCCTTTCATCTGCG